TTTAGTTCACACAATTGTTTTTTTTTTTATCAAAGAAAGGTTTTAGTTGATGAGATACTGCTGTAGTCTGTAAATGTTCCTTTTTTCACATTTTCTTAGTTAGAATATGTTTCAATTTGATTTTTCTGTACTCAGGTGTTTTATTGTAGATATGATTCCTGACTGTTTTTATTTGTCAGAGCTGATTCAGAAACCTAGAGAAGTTTCTGCTCATGGATGTGAAGAACAGCACCATGGAGTTAACCTTATCACCAGCGGTAAGTCAGCAGAGCTTTTAACTACCCTGAAGAAAGTTTATACTGGTTGCTAAGTAACAGAAAAGGCATTCAAAACACAAACTAAAGACTTTTAGAAACTTGAATGTCTTGTATTCAAAAAATAAGTCTTATTATGATGACAGTCTCTAAATTGTGTGATACAGTATTTCTGAGCTGTTACTTCAGAGAAACAAAATATTTTTTGRTTTGTGTGAGCCTTATGCTACTTTAAAAAAAGGAAATGGGTGTTTTGATCAAGTCAAGTTTTCCTTTGTATTTTTGGATTTCTGAATCTGATTTYCCCCTCTTCTTTGTRTGTGTGCCATTGAAAAAGACTTGTGCAGTCAAAGAAGAACCTGAAGACCCCAATGGAAATGGTTTTGTTCAGGAGCTGCTGGTTGAGTCAATCAACACTCCAGTTACACCTCACTGCAGCAACCAGAGTGAAGAATGTGTTGGAGACTCAAGGGATTTAGAAGTACACAATCCCAAGCACACTGGTGAAAGAAAGTTCATCTGTACCCAGTGTGACAAGAGATTCATCAGATCAAGCCATCTGAAGGAYCACCTTTGTGTCCACACTGGAGAGAAGCCTTATGCTTGTACCCAGTGTGAGAAGAGATTCACCCAGTCAAGCAGTCTGAAAAGGCATCAGCATGTCCACTCTAGATAAAAGTCCTTCTTTTGGTAGATATTCTGGTGGACTGAAACATTTGTTTTACTGTGGACTTGAATGTTTATCAGAAATGTAAAATAAAGCATCTAAAAATGTTAGAGTTGTATGAAACATTTTTCTCTTGCCAAAGAAACCTTTTGTGAAAAAAGTCACTCAACATATTCAAAAATATGAATTCACATTTAACTTAAAATTTACAACAAAACACACATTTACACACTTTCACACACACAAATTATGTAAATATAGGACTTTTATTTAGATAATGCAGCAGTTTTACATGTGACATGTTGAAAAGTTGCACTAATCAGTTACAGTATGATTAGTTGAAGTAAAAAATGTAAGATTAAGCGTGAGATTGTGCAAAATCTTATTTTCAAGACCAATGCTGGTCAACAAATGATTATCCTTTTTAAAAATTGTCCTTTTTGCTGGTTTGTGATATGAATTTCTTGAAGGGATGATAGGGCTTTATTTAAACTAGAAAATATTGAAGGGGTAGTTAATGCATGCTGCCTTGCATCAAGAGTTTTAAACAGAAATCTTGTGGGATCTCAGCTGTATTAGCACTCAGTGTATGTGTTGGAATGACATCTACTATCACATCAACTTAAGCTCAATGTTTGTCACAATGGAAGAGTTGTTGCCTTTTTAGTGTGTGATAAGGTTGTTCAGCTATAACCGTCTTAAACCAGGTTTAAGATGCAGCCAATGATTACCCCCCCCCTCAGGAGTTTCAAATAGCAGCTCACTGCTCCACATGTGTGCTCAGATGTTCAATAAGAACAATGCAGAGAATTTATTTCCCCACTGAGAGACAATAAAAGTTATTAAAATTAAATTATGTAAATAACATATTGTCCTATATGACAGTGTTTTTTTCATGTCTTTACATAAATTACATCYAGTTTAAAACCAATTGAGTAACAATTGCTCATTAAAATCATGACTTTTAATTGTGGATGATTTTACTAACTACTGAAAGTAAAAGTAAAAGGTACCTGACAGTGGTGGACAAAGTACTCAACACTRGTACTTGAGTAAAAGTACCGATACTCATGGTCAAATCTTACTCAACTACAAGTAAAAGTTGCTCGGTCAAAAATCTACTCAAGTTAAAGTACTGAAGTACTTACTTTTGAAAATACTTAGGTATTCAAARATACAAGCAYTTAAAARTACTMAAGTRTTCAAAAGTAYAAATTWAATTTTCTAATATCAGTACATTGCTTTATTGTTTTCAGAGTGATTTTACAGAACCTTSTAACTCTCACTGACAGGTAGAACCACTTTGCTACAAATTCTACACCACCTGTAAAGACTTCAGCWTAAAAATAMAATAAAGTGAGARGTGAGGTCTTRAATGCAGAAAYRTAGTTTATCCATGGTGAAAACACAAGACATTWAAACTGATACAAACTATTTTTCAGTCCTAAAATCTCAAACATCGAACTGAGATRTGGTCAAGCTGCTCTGGTTTCTCTACWTGAGTTTCTTCAACCGTCTCCATTGCTGGGTTCTGTTTGAAATAAAGGTGGAGCTCAGCTCACCACCGTTAACGAGGATGACGTAATTCCAAATCTATCCCAGGTGKGAGCTATGACTGTGATTGGTTCCCCTTGTGAGGAACATRGCGTGTGGCCRAATGCATTGCAAGAAAGGAAAACAGCAAWAGTGGATCACAAAGCTACGCTGAGTCAAAAGTAACAAGTAACTAACAAGTTTCTAAGAAATGCAGGGGAGTCAGAAGTACAATATTTGTTTTTRAAATGTAGTGGAGTGAAAGTCATAAGTTCCCCAAAAAATTATTACGCAAGTAACGTTACTCAAAAAATGTACTAAAGTACAGTTCTCAAGTAAATGTACTCCATTACTGTCCACCATTGACATTACCCAATGAAATAAATAAAACAGAAATACAAAGTCCAAAACAAATAAATCAAACAGACTTAAAGGGACAATTCAAAGTAAAGCTGGGCTAAAATGCAGTTGTGTCAGCTTCATCCTCTCCAACCTTCAAATCTATTTTTTTGGCCTCTGATATTCAATGCAGTGATAAAGCTCCATTTTTCATGCATATATAATGAAAAAGTAAAACAGCCTTAGCAAATGTGTCAGTTTTTATGAAGGTTAACACATTTTCTTTTCARTTTTCTTCTTTATGGTTACAGTTTTTAAATTATTTGGAATCTGGAGTCTTAAAAATGCAATGCAGCTTAGAAAACTGTACAAAATGTACAAATAATAAGGCTGAATAATGTTAAATTCCCAACAGAAAAGCTAAATTAAATGTGAAACTCATCTAGCACTTTTTACACAACTGCTCCAAGTTTCTTTTTATAAACACACCAGTGTTTTGAGCTCACAGGTGTGTTTGTGTGAAAGTGAGCACAGAGCATTCTGCTGACCGGGGTAAGCCCTCAGACCCAGCATGCTCTGAAACCATGGGATTAATATGCTGTTATGAGAGTTAGGATTTTTTTTCCTCCTCCTCCTCCTCCTCCTGTTCCCTCGGGAGGGAAAGATGAGCTGGAAGCAAGAGGTCAGTGGGCCACCCTCGCATCCGCTTGCTGGGAATGCTTGTGCTCTAATGCTGCCAATCAGCAGCGACTCATCAGACTGCTGTGATTCTACGCTGCTGTGGTGAAACGTTAAACTCTGCTCACCTCTTCACATTTCATATCTGTTTTGGAGAGAGAGCKGCTGAAAAAGTGACCTTGTTGTAGAGAAAAAAAAGTATAAATAACTTGAACTGAAAATAATTTGTTTTCTGCAGTGAGAAATATTGTGGAATTAATAGTTTCACTGTAAATTATGTCACAACGAGCTCAGTGGTAACAATATTTAGTGCCATGGTTGGGCTGATAGGGGACTGCTGAGCAGTAAAATGCAAAACAAGATTTTACTGCAAATTAACAAGGTTTTGTGCAGTTTTRCACAAAGGTAATCTTTCGAGGAATGCATATCACCCCCATCTTCTGATTAGTTTATGAGAGATGGGAGCTGTTTCCTTGATAATATTGGTTTGCTCTACTCTGAGTTGTCACGCTCAGAGTATGTGTTGTGAAWGACTCTCAGCTACTACCACATGGATTTTTAGCTCAGTTTCTCTAAAAGTGAGGAAATTAKAGACATTTTTGTGTTAGCCTATGGCGGCAATAATACAGTAGATTAGATGTAAATCCAGGGATTACTTTTTGTMCGTTTCATTAAAATCTCATTGGTTCATAAAATATTTTGCTAATGAWACAGTTAAAGGGGACATATGCAAAATCCACGTTTCCATATTTTTAAACTTGTTCAGTTTTCTCTATTTTCAATGATGTTTTCTGAACTGTTTCATTACAGAATTTGTGATGGAACTTCTAAACAAGGTCTGGACTTACCAACTATAATTTAGTGGTCTTCATTCTCCTCTGGGTCAGACTCTCACTCCAATATGTAAGGCTGGATGGACAAGTCTTTCTTTGTTGACATATTTTGATTAATTTGTATATAAAATATTTCTGTGCCACTATATAGTCTTAAACCTTAAACTAGGTTTTGGACCAAGGTGTGAATTGAGTTTAGGTTGGTTTTAGGGTCAGATATGGTACCTGTGAGGTTGATTTTAGGGTAAATGGTCAGGGTTAGGCTATAAAATAAAATAAAAAAAAGAATGGAAGTCAATGGACGGTCCCCATGGGTGTGTGTGTGTGTGTGTGTGTGTGTGTGTGTGTGTGTGTGTGTGTGTGTGTGTGTTTGTGAAGCGTCTTGTTTGGAGAGACAGGGTTGAAAGAGGGGCTTGTGGAGTTACAATAAGGAGGAATTCAGACCAAAGCATTGTAGTTCCACTTTATATAGACCCCAACTGAATGATTTAAATGTGAAAAAGAAGGATTTAAAAGCAGGATGTGTCTGCTTTGACCGAAAACACACATATGGACAAAAACATCACCGCTTCTGCTTTCACCAGCGCACAATAATGAGGTAAACTTTACAGGGCAGAGAAGACCTTTTGTCTGCACGTGACAGGCAAACTGCTGCACACTTGTTGTTTTATTTATTGTTATTGCTATCGGCGCCGCTGACATGTTTACAGAAGCACAGCTCGCAGGGTGGGGGGAGGTCAGTGTCACCGTTAACATTTTCCCCATTTGCTGCACATTTTCATTCGACGTTCACTGCCGTCTAATCTTTGACGCAGACATGATTAAAAGCCCTATAAGCACACGCAGGGTTTCCACATGCTTCTGTGAGGAAACAATGCACGCATGAGTGCGCTGGCTGTGGCTAGCAGCAGGCCGAGTGTGTGGCTGCGTGGCGTTTGTGCGCGCGCGCGTGTTTATGTGCGAGCCCTGGGATTTACCCGGGCAGATGTAAGTAATCAGTCCCTGAGCAGAGGCTCTTTATCCCTTTTATCCCCCCCGTCAGTGGAGCCATCGGTAGACTGAACAGGCCTGAGCCACCCCACCATCCCCCGGTGGCGCAGAACTGGGTGGTAGTGCTGATGATGGGGCAGGAGAGGTGCTCTGGGGGGCTGTTAACACAGGTAAAGGTCTGAGAGCTGAGGTTAGTCCGAGCGAGGAGGAAGGAGCAAATGTCCYGACATGTTTGGGGAATCTTAAAGGTGTGAAACGAGGCCGACACTTCCTGAGACGTTTTAAATAATGCACAGATTTTAGACGTCTAGCACCGCCGACAATACAGCTCTGCTTTAAAACCCGAGCGTTTGAGGTAGAAAAGAAGCAGGAAGGATTATAACAACTGGGAGGCTTAACAGAGATGCACAGGCTGGTCCTCCATTGCAACTTATGATGTGYGAGTGTTGGCTTTAGTGTAACCAAGGACTGATACTGTAACTCTGCAGGCTTAGAGGATCAAAGCTTTGGACAGGAAACACTGGAAGAAGATAGAAGGGAGACTTTGGATAGGCTAAACTATGCTGCTTTATCAGATTAAAGAATGAGAGGTGGCACTGTTAGAGAAAATGTCACCTTTTAGAGCAAACAACTGGTCTGATATTTTTTATTATATGTCTTTAAAGTCATTTCTGTCACATTAAAGTTGCAGCATTTTATTAAACACTTCTACGTTTGTGTTCTTTGCAGTTCTGTGA